CATGGACGATCTTTTGTGTTAGTAATAAACAAGTCAGACTTAAACAAGTCAGTAAACAGGAAAATAAACATGTATTAATAACGCGCTTTGATTTTTAACATAGTCGGCTATTAAGACAATGACAATGTTTATAAGTATCGTTCTCTGCTATATTAGAAGACAATAACGTACTGGGCTACTGGGCTTATATTTGGGCGACTTATATTTGGGGAGCTTATATTCGGGTGGATTTATAATCGGGTGGGTTTATATTGGGGGGTGGGGCTTATATTTGGAATGAGTTGAGCGTTAGTTTTTGTGGTGGGCTTATATGCGGGGAGGGCTTATATTCGGGGGGCTTATAGTCGGAGGTTTACGGTACTTGATAAAACAATGTAATCCTAATATGTATTAATGACGAATACGAGGCTCCCCGAGTCAAGGTGTCTTGTAGATGGAAATTATCGAGTGGCAATTTATACACATTTAGCCCTAACCAGGAACAGCTACGAAAAATGTAACACTAGGCCCTGCCGGGAATCGGATCTGCGGCCCTGCGATTCCGGTGCACTCTATAACCAACTGTCAAGCTCTAAACACAAGGGTTCATGTTCAGTATACTATGCTGTATAGTACCATGTATAGGTTATGGGTAACTGATATCAAGATTTCATTGTCTAATAAATGTGTATAAATTGTCACTGTATAATTTCCATTTCCAAGACCTTTCAACTATTATTCAGTCGAGTGAGATGCCTTGGCCCCTTCGTTCTCCTGACCTGACGGTGTGCGATTTTTTTCTTCGGGGCTACTTGAAACATTAAATTTGGAATGCGCCACTTGATGATCGACCAAATAATTTCAGAGAACTTGGTAAGGCAATTGTAACAGCATACTGGAACCTGGATACCCAGATGATCCAAAATTCCTTCGACTGCATGTTCATACGGGCAAGAAACTGCATTTTTTATGTTGGGGGACTGGAAAACGAACGATTTAAAATGCACATGGATGGTGTATGTATATCAAAATTGAAATTAGACATTACAGATTACAATGCCTGAGCTGTGCTCTTTAATTAATTTTTAAGTTATACTGAATCGATGAGGAGTACTTTTTCGAGCCACCCGGTATTATGTACATGCATGTAGTCGCTAGTAAAGAACAACAAACGGAGTTTATTAAAGTCAACAGAGTTATAGATAACTGCATTGGTTAAATTTGGGTCAAGCGAAGCAAAATAAACTCGAGATGGTGGGGAGTTTTAGTTAGAGAGTACATTAAATGAGTAGTATTAGAGTATGGGAAAACCAAGGGAAATAGGATTAATTTGTTTTATTCGCTTAGCAATCATATTACACTGAAAAACATAAAAAAGATATGAAGGAATAGACAACAAGACTGACATCCCACATTAGTATTTTTGCACAAGTGTATATATTAACAAATCCTACAAGTTGATTGGTCAAATTTGGCGTATTAAGCTGTTATATTCACCTACAGGTGAATATAACAAAAACCGAAATTTGCAAAATGGCGACTGGCCGTTTTGTGGAAGTTACTGATAAAGAAATAAGCGGAATTAAAATAAATTCAAAAGACTTGTGTAAAAATACTAAACTGACAAATATTCCCCTCAGGCTCGGTGATTATCGGGAAATGTTCACCTGGACTTCGTCTCGGTGAATATTCCCCGATAATCACCTCGCCTTCGACGAATAAGTGCATGCATCGAAACATAACATGACACACAACACAATTAATACACGACATAAAAGTCACGCAAGAACAACAACATAAAACAGATAAATTATGACGAGCAACTGATATTGTTACACCGATATTTGACACAAAATATTTACCAAGTTCTTGGGCGCTCTCATGCAATATTTCATGCAGAGTTTAGTTTTTTAACGTAATATTCGTCAGGTTTAGCTTTAAACATTGCATAGTAGGAGGATTACTTGATATGCCTGAGGGTACGTAAGCCAGTCAAGTTCGGTAAGCGAGTTTGGCATATTGAGGTTGATCTACTCATAGCCTATCGAAGGGAAGATGGCTGTGAAACTCATTAAAATAACAATATAATTCATCTATATTTGTCAAAGTTTATTCATAAATGTGGTCCTTCATCGTCACGTTTGTATTCTATTTTTGCCAAATCCACCAATCGCATTTTCCAAAATCCCATTTGTTCGAGTTACGGATGAGTAATTTTCCTAAAACGTTTGCTATCGGTTAGTTGGGCAAAAATACAATACACACGTGACGGTAAAGGACCAGGTTTATGAATAAATATTGACTAACATAGATAATGAGTTATATTGTTATTCTAAAGAGTTTCAGATGCAGCCATCTTCCCTTCGATAGGCTATAATGTACCAGTCTTAATTTGATTATTATTTTATTATTCCATGCCCTTTTACATGTTATAAGTCTAAACTGTGTTTGGTCATTCTTGTAATTGTTTAGGAAAATATGTTGAACGTCTCCGTGGTGCAGACAAGACCGTCGAGAAATTTCCATGCCCTACCTGTCACTCAGAGTTTACGCTGAAATCAGACCAAGATGTCACTGAATTGGCAAGGAATGACTTCATCAAAAACACGCTTGAAATTATGGCGATTCAAGAAAAGGCGAAAGCGTCTACTGCATGTTCGCGATGCAAGGGTCTTGCTATCAATCTGTGCACATCATGCAAAATACTTATGTGTCAGAAATGTTCAGAGTCGCATGATAATTGGTTTACCATGAAAATCCATAATGTATTATCTGTTCAGGAATTGAGTGAACCTGATGGTCAAGTAAAAATGAGAAGCAAGCTTTATTGCAAGAAACACGAGGACAAAATACTCGAAACATATTGTGAAACATGCAAGGAACTTTGCTGTATTCACTGCATGCTGTCAAATCACCTGAAACAAGACCATTCTTGTGTGGCAGTGAATGAGGTGGCACAAAAGCAAAGAGAAACGTTGCGATCAAACTGCACAACACTTCATGAGAAATTATCCGAAGGAAAAGAAGCGTTAAACAACATTTGTAAGGTGATGAAGTGCCTCGAAATGAATGCTAAAACTGCCAAAGATGAAATCAAAGAACAAAAGGAAAATATCGTGAAGATTGTTGCAGAAAAGCTTGATGAGAGAGCAGAGGAAATGTATCGAGAAGTGGACAAGGTTTATGACGAATTACATGGTGAACTGAGCGAACAGCATGACGAAATTAAAGATTATCTTGATAAAGTCCAAGATTCAGTATCCTTGCCAAGAAATCTCCTAAAAGGAGGAAGTATTGAAGAAATTCTCTCATCACGAAAATTGATTGATGAAAATATTGAGAAATTGAACAATGAACAACCAGGAAATCTAGCCGCAGTGAATGATGGTGCTATTCAGTATGTGCCTGACGATATTGGTAATATCAATGTTGACGAAGTTGTTGGTAAACTAGGACACATAAAAGGTATGTCCAATCAACTTCATAAGTTTGTATGGCTTAATTTATGATATGGAAACCTCACTGCATAGGAAAGATTTTGTACTTCTTGCGTAATTGGGGCTAATGTCAATTGATGCCTTTTTTCAACCTGGGTGGTTTGTTGTGGCAAGCCAGCCAGCCTAAACATTTTGATTTAGACAAAAATGGAAGTTCTTTGCAAAGCGGGATAGCTCAGGTACCCGTACTGGATAACCTCTTTATGAACTCTGCTAGGCTATAGAAACCTTATCTAAGTTTTTTATGATATAGCCCTCATTTATGTAGCCTAGGACCTGAATACATATAAGATCGTATATTATACTATATATATAATGTTATTCATTTACGATAGATAATCACTCATTGAACTAAAATGTTCATATAGAGACCGATTAAGTGAATTCAAATACATAACTCGCGCGAAGCAAAATGACGGGTGCAAAAGTATTTACGATAATTTTTACAATAATTCTTAGGGAGAAAAATTTAGAAAATAAGAAGATATTGTCTTTGCGTCGGGTATTAAGTTGTATTAGAGAGTTTATACGATTCACGTCGCGGCTAGAGAAGACGCGTTAGAAAGGCTTGGTAACTATCGTTTATTCTGTTGCGTACGTTACGAAACATAACGCGCTATTGAAAAACTTTATTTTTGCGGGAAAATTATAGGTTTTCCAAAATTTTTGTAATTTTTCTTTTTGAAAGAGCGAATTTAGATGGAAAATGAACTTTGGATTGAACATTACGAGTGACCTGAAATGGAACCACCATATATCGGAAATATCGCGAAAAGTGTCCAAAAGACTCTACTTCCTCAGACAATTGAAGAGAGCAAGAGTCGCAAATAAGGATCTGGTAATCTTTTACATCACATGCATTCGGCCCGCCATGGAATACGCCTGCCCTGTCTACCATAATTCACTGCCCAAATATTTGTCTGATGAACTTGAAGCCCTACAGAAGCGCGCCATGAGAATTATTTTCCCATTTGTTTCTTATTTTGAAGCATTAGAACTCGCTAAATTAGAGACAGTGTATATTCGTAGACAGACTCAAACAACTAACCTTTTTCAGGAAATTAGTAATAATCCAGAACATAAACTATATCGATTTTTACCGAAGTTAAATAAATGTAATTTTAAGCTTAGGAATACTCGTAAATTTCAAGTTCCTGTCTGTAAAACTAACAGACTTCAGAACAGCTTTTTTTATAGTAATTGTACATAGTTTAGTCGTACTTAGATCTTTTAATTGTATTTTTGATGTTATTG